AGGCGTACTACAGTACTGAGTACTGTATAAAGTAAAAAAGAAAATAATAGGCTGTCCTAGGGGCGATTCCATAACAACATGTGCCTGTTAATGAGTGTCTGTGGCGTTGTTGTGGCTGTCAGGTTGACCCGAGACACTTGAATTGTTCAAATTGACGTGGAATTTCATTGATAAATACATTGCATAGTCTCAAGTATTGCATACCGAGTATTAAGGTCAAGTTAACTTGTAAAAACCACATACCAGTGGCGGCTTCCCAATATATCACCGTTATCCGTGGATTCATCCGCATCCATCACATTTCTGCTGGGTGGATGCGGATTTCGGAGCAAATCTGTGGTTTTCCATCCGGTAGCCATCCGGATCCACCATGCTGGTCCTTACCACTTCTACAGAGAATAGCAAAAGATCCTTTGAAATTTTCTTTAAAATGAATTTCTGTACAGGTTCAGTAGGTTCTTAAAATAAGTACAGCTCACTAAAACAAGTCATACAATGTTGTTGTTAAGATAATAGATACAGCTGAACATCCTTGCTATTTGACCAACTTTGTTCTAAGCCTCTCTCCGAGATTGGCCGGCTCGCCGGCCCGGAGACAGGCTTGCTCCGAACCTACATCGGTTGCAACCAGCCTAAGAAATTTCCGACACAGCTACTCTTTGTAAGGCCTAATGGTCTAGTAGCATGATACCTCCTTCGGGATTTGCCAAAATTCCACGTAGAACGTAATCATGGAGGTGGTCCTGGGTTCAATTCCCAGTTAGGCCCTATTTTTGTCACTTTTCCCCCCCAAAATAGTAGCCGCATACTTCACGAATTCGAGCTTTTGATGATTGAACGCCAAACTCAGCCGCCTCGCTGATCGTCGTTATTCTTCGATTGTCTCCTCGAGGCAAGGGTCATTTTACTTGGGCGATGCATATGTCATGTGATCTCTAAATTAGAATTTCTGGCAGTGTCTCTCGATCACCAGTGAAACCACTGCCCAGTCTAGGGTGTAGTGTATGACGATTGGTCTGCTTCGTCCCAGCTCCGTCATCTCACGGCGCATAATGGCATCACCACCACCACCATCTACTTCTCCCTACGACGGCTGGACAAGAGAAGAGTTAATAGCCCGTCTGACCCAACTAGACCGTGATAAATCTCGACCAAACCAACAGCCACCATCCCCCAAGCGCCGCGAAAAACACTTCCACTTTTCTGTGCACTCTAGGCGGAAAATCGCGCTGAAATTTTGCTATTCCGGATGGGAGTATGGTGGGCTCGCATTCCAGAAAACGGAGACGGCGCTACCGACCGTCGAAGGAGTGCTGTTCGATGCGATGGTTAAGGCGCGGCTGGTAGATCCCGAAGCGGGATTTGACGGATGTGGTTGGGAGAAATGTGGGCGCACGGATCGTGGGGTGAGTGCTGCTGGTCAGGTCATTTCACTGTGGATCAGAAGTACCCTTGGAACCGAAGCTGGCGGAGAGGACGGAACACTGGATGTTGCTACCAGAGACGACGTTCAGGAAATGTCGAATACCACCCCAAAAGCTGGGCCATCTTTGGCTTCACCAGCACCGAATCCAGTGTCCACCGAGAACCAGACCGCTATTCCTGGACTAGAATTCGGGTTTGAAGAGGACGATCTGGATGCCCCACAGTCAAACTCGAGCCTATCGATACCCCCACCCACTCATAGAACAATATACGAACACAACTACCTAGCTATCCTAAACCGCCTTCTTCCACCGACGATACGGGTTCTCGCCTGGTCTCCCGTATCTACTCAATTCTCTGCGCGATTCTCATGCACCTACCGGCACTACAAATACTTCTTCTCCTCCGACACCGTGCCAGGGCCCGTGCTCGACATCGATCGCATGCGCACCGCAGCATCGCACCTCGTCGGCGAGCACGACTTCCGGAACATGTGCAAACTCGACCCGGCGAAGCAGATCACGTCATTCCGACGCAAGGTCATGCGCGCCGACATCGAGCCCGTGTCCGTCGACGCGAGTGGCCGGGGGATGTACGTCTTCAACCTCGTCGGGAGCGCGTTCCTCTACCACCAGGTCCGGCATATCATGGCGGTGCTGTTCATGGTCGGGCATGGGCAGGAGGACCCGGCTATCGTGCCTGCCTTGATGAACGTGGAAGAGGGGGCGGAGCCCGGCGCGAATGAAGTGGTCAATTGTAAACCGGAGTACCAGATGGCCGACGCGCTGCCGCTGTTGCTGTGGGACTGTGGGTACCCAGAGGAGGAGCTCGACTGGCGCACGACAAACGGGGCGCCAGGTAGTAGCGAAAGCAGGCCAGATTTGTACCAGCAATTGCATTCGATCCACGCGCGATCGCAAGTGTACACCGCGTTGAATGACCACTTCCTTGCTGCTGCATCGGTCTTCCACCGGCGGCCCGCCGAAGCTGAGGCGCAGAGTCCTTCGACCAAGCTCCTGATCCCGTTAGGGGGAGGCGCGTACAAGCGAACGGGCCAGGATAAGTATGTTCCGCTGCTGCGGAGGAATAGGCTGGATCCCGTCGAGCAGGTGAATGAGAGGTGGAGGCTCGGGAAGGGGTTCCGACGGAATGAGAGGAAGAAGGCGGCTGAAGATATAGATGATGTTGACGGAAATGAATAGATCACGGCACTTTCCAACAACTCGATCTATACTCATGCTGAATGCATCATCTCAAGCTGGGACAGCGGGACAGCAAATCCTGTGCGCAAGTTAGATAACGGTCATCAGAAGTGGAAGCGAGATTCATTCCAGTCCGGCACCGGTACTGAAAACGAAAAAGTGATCATGGTTTATGAACCATTTACGCGCAGTCTTGAAGTGAGCAGAAAATATTCAAGTTGAATTTCTGCCATCCAGTCCATGGATTAGATACTTGTAATTATTCCTAGAACATCGCATATAAGTTGATTTACTTCACTGAGCAAAATCCCCGGAAGTTCAATTTGATAGAAAATAGATCTATTTAGGACATATCACTCTTTGACATATTACACCGCACAGAAGCACACAAATTATAAATCTCGCACATTGTTAGCAAGCATTTGTACGCCTACGGACTACTAATGATAATTACCACTGCTATGAAACTGATGAAAGACTACTAATTTCCAGGCGTCGCAAATTACAGGAAGTTCTCGTTCCAGATAGAGTAGGACTTGGTGCTATCAACACCGACAGCTAATGGCAGGATTGTCAGATAGATGACATGGCGAAGGAGATACCGATACTCACTGATATAGCCCAGGACACCTTCGCGAATATCATGTCCAAGCATCTGGAGGCTAGGAAAGGATAGCCAACTCAGCATTTTGGATTGAATTGTTGTCAGTTGTAATGCGGACGTACTCGATAAACGCTTTATATCCAATCGTAGAGTTGGAAATGAAAATATCCTCGGTGTTGAGTGTGCGACCTTGCTTGTTGGAGGTGTACGGCAAAGTCTCGTAGACTTTATCGTTCCACGATTCCTCGAAGAAGAATTGCCCGATGTGCACGACACTGCCGGCATGCGAGACGAGCGTGCTGGAATTCGGAAATGCGTTAGTGATCACCCAGGTCTGGAAAAGTAAATGATGAAAATTATTTAATCACCCATTGGCGTTCTTCTTCCAGTCCTTGTGAATCATAGTGTGGATGTGTGCGGTGCGCCCATCGTAGAACCCGGGGTAGAGCGTGACAAGTTCCACTATGCCCTGGGCGTTCGTGTAGTAGCCTCCCCGCAAGAACGTCTCGGTATGGACATTAGCGTTGTCGCCAGTGGAGAATCCTCCGTACTGGCCCGTAGCGTTAGCTAGATATAAGCAAAGAATTTAGTTACATGAGGACAATGACATGCAATGGTTATTACTGACCGGCCCAGATCTCAACGAAGGCGTTGGGGAGCGGCTTGCAGGTCGTAGTGTCCATGACGCCGATATCCAGGACAATCTTGACACCACTGGGGTAGAAATTTATGAGACGCAGATTATGTCAAGTATCTGATTTTTTTCTTACCGTTGGGTTTCAGTCAGGTCAGTGCGGACATACTCGTTGTTAATATAGTAAGGACCCTCGATGACTTCAGGGGCCGTAACACACGTAGTCTATGCAGAAAAAAAGGTAAGTTTGGTCGTATAAAGAAAAGGAACTTGCGCTTACATTCTGGATCGTCTCGTAGTGAGGCTTGTGCGGGCCATGGCCGGCGGGGGGCATCATCCTCTTGCTCAGGCGATTCCTCTTGAGCATGCGCTGGGTCTCAAAGGCTGCAATCGCGGGGGCGCATTTACGTGCTTGAAGGTGGCGAGCAGTAGACTCGGCCTGGAAAGCTGTTAATAACGATGTACGTGGTTTTCTGGGTGTTAGGCATCGACTTGCCTCCTTCTGAGCGCGTTCTGCTGGGGTTCCGTGGTCGTGGTCCCCGCCAGGGTGGGCTACGCGCATTTTTTTTTGGTCAGTCCAACTCGGCGGACATTGTAAATATACATACCGGTGACGAGCGACATGGTGAGCGCGACAAGGGTAAAGAAGCTAGAAAGACGCATTGTGTGAATATTTATCGTACAGTGGGATATTGGGTAAGATAGTTGGGTTGGGACAAGAAAGGATTTTTTACTAACCTTTTAAAGAGCTGGCGTGCTGCCAGGTGCGCACGCATCGAGTGAGAAACCATTCGCGACCATATGGAGGTGGCGAGAGGCGATTCCTTGAGGTTCGAAGGCGCCCGCAGCGGATATGCTACCGAGGTGTAAGTACACCGAGATTACATAGTAGATCTAGCTCAACACCACCAGAGTCCTCGAAACGACGTCAAGGATCTGTTTCTAATCTTGCGAGCTGTCGCATGCGCAGCCGACTGCTAACGCCGGGGCTTTGTTTTGAGTAATTAGATAGCTTATGATTGGTTGTCCGAGCTGGAGGCGGCTTGGGGAAAGTCACGGTAATCCAGTCATGCAATCACATAGCTGTTCTACTCCATCGGTCGTTTATTTTTGATGCGAACCTTCGCTCTCCTTCGCGGAAGCGGACGAAAGAAACCGTCAACGAGATGGTGGCGGGGTGTTATCAAGTTTCTCCACGTGGCAGATGATCGGGTTGGTTCACAGCTTGCGTTAAGCGCCGATCACTATACTAACCAATGTGTGCCTCCCCTAACCTTTGCATCTTGACTTCCCTTCAACGAGGTCACATTTATGCCAAGCATTCAGGGTGCTGTAGTCCCAGAATCGAATAAGAATTCCGATCTTCCGTAGAGCCGTGGTACCGCTAGGAGTAGTGTCTTCCACCGAATATAGGAGCTAAACCTAAGTAATTGACATTGCCAGTGAGAGGGAGCTAGGTGTACAGTGGTTTATCGGTCCTTGAAACACTCAAATAAAGATGGGCTCCGGAAAAAATACTGGTGATAGTCTTCTTCGAAGCTATTAGACAATGTTCTTTTAGAGTACTTTACTTTCAGTTATATCAAATTTACCACTTCTGGGGATTGTTCAGGAGGCAGATGAAGACAATCAGTTCAAAACGTTCTTATCAGAGAAATTCTCAGTCCTTGAAACACACGTCACATCAAGGTGACAGCCAAATTTGGCCACACTTTTAGCAGGCGACCATCATATCTCTTACTTCATTTGGTAGGTGTGATGTGACAAGCCAAGGCGTGTTTCGCGACACAACCTCTGAAAACCTGTTCGAATAGACCTGGACGCACACCACGCCGAAGGATTTCTACATATTCTATCCAAAGATGAAGTCACATATAACAAAGAAAATCTTAGCTACCAAATA